GTGATGGTCTGGTTCAGAGATAAGGAACCTGTGCCTCCCTAAGAGTCACTGGACTCTGACACTCACCAGCATGGCCAACAGTTAGTGATATTGATGGGAATTGTGGTCCAATAACATTTGAGAGGCCACAGGTTCCCCATTCCATTTTTTAAAGTCTGAGGTCTCTAGTGCCAAAGCTGGCCTGTTCACAAAGACCTGGTGGACTAATGGAATGGGAGTAGGGAGGGAGAGAGAATCCTGAGCTCCAAAACTTTTCAGCTGAAGCTCTGTTCCCCCACAAATGTTAGGTGGTTGGTTGCTGGTGGTTGGTCCTGCTGCGGTGAGCATCTGTCCCCATCCCTGATCCACCAGTGGCCTTGGTTCCTCCACCTCTTCCCCCTGTGCCTCTTCCCCCCTCCTTCCAATAACACAATTACTTACCCTTCTGAAGTGCTGTCAGTGTTGGTAAACTCCAGCTGCTAAACTGCATTACACAGATCTCTCCTTAAAACCTTCTGCAGTTTATTAATAGTTTATTGATCCCTGAGCCCCATCGCCAGTGAAAAAAAGAAGCCTCGTCCCAGCCCCCCCTGACATATCTCTCTCTCCCCCTCCCTCGGTTATCTGAATACTGACTACTAACCAGACAGCCGATCGATGGTACTCAATTCCCAGGGAAAAAAATGTTCTCCTGCCTACTTAATCCACTTTAGCAAGGAGGCAGCTCTGTGGGGAGGTAAGATTACAGGTGGGAGGCAGGAATAATGTCAAGTGAAGGCCAATGAAATTCATGGCTCAAGTTTTCAGCGATGGCCCACACAAGGGGGGGGGGAGTGGAATGCCATCTCCCCTTGGGGAAGCACCCCAAAAATACTTAGGAACGTATGACCCAGTGTGCATCGGCTGTGAAAAAGGGTTAAATCCCACTCTGGGGATTGTTAGAAAAGGAACTGTGGATGAAACTACCAATATCATAATGGCATTACAAATCTATGGTGCGACCCCCGTTGGGAATATTACGTCCAGCTCTGGATAAAAGGTAAAGGTAAAGGGACCCCTGACCATTAGGTCCAGTTGTGACCGACTCTGGGGTTGCGGCACTCATCTCGCTTTATTGGCCAAGGGAGCCGGTGCACAGCTTCCGGGTCATGTGGCCAGCATGACTAAGCTGCTTCTGGCGAACCAGAGCAGCGCACGGAAATGCCGTTTACCCTCCCGCCAGAGTGGTACCTATTTATCTACTTGCACTTTGACATGCTTTCGAACTGCTAGGTTGGCAGGAGCTGGGACCGAGCAACAGGATCTCACCCCATCACGGTGCCTCACCTCAAAAAGGATATCGCAGAGTTGGGGGGGGGATTGGAAAAGGGCATCCAAAAAGATCAGGGGGTGGAGGAAAGGTTGCAGCATTTGGGACGTTTTAGTTCAGAAAAGGGGTCAGTAAGAGGGGATGTGATAGATAAATTCATAAATAAATTGATGGCTACTAGCCACAATTCCTCTACAGCTGGAGGCATCTATCCTTCTGAATCCCAGTTGCTGGAAAGCACAGGAGGTGGAAAGAGAGCTCTTGTGCTTGAATCTGCTTAAGGGCTTCCCAGAATGGGCATTTGGTTGGTGTGAGAGCTGGATGTTGGACTAAATGGGCCATTGGCCTCATCCAGCAAGCTCTTCTCAAGTTCTTATGAAACGTTCTGCAGATCTGATCAAAGGCCCATCTAGTCCAGCATCGTGTTTTCATGCCAACTGTGGTGTACAGTCTAAAAATGCTATGGTTAAGACCTTGGAAGGTGGTGGACTCTCCTTCATTGTCTACACCGACTGGCATCAGCCCTCCAGATCTTCAAGCAGGAGACATTCCCAGTCCTACCTGAGGACTGGACCTGGGGGACCTTCTGCATGCAACACAGATGCTCTACCCGGGGCCATATCCCTTCATTATCAAGGTACCGGTGCTTTTCAAGCTCTACACCCTGGCCAACACCTCCTCCTCTTCCTCCGTTCTCTCTCCCAGTTCTGCCCAATATATTTCTGGTCTCCTTAGCCCTCTCTCACCCTGTGCCAAGAAAGCCACCAGTTCCCTCTTCTTGTGAGGTTGTAATTGGAGTTCTGCATCTGCCCTCCTGAAACCTTGGCCTCCCCAGCATGCCAGCATCCTTTGATTAACTCATAATATCAGGGGCCCACCAGAAGCCCGATCCCATCAATCTGTCTTTTTCCAACCAAGGAGCCCTTCATGATTGCTGTCCGTGGAGGCTCGTTCTTTAGCTCCCGTTCCAAATTGGACTCTGCGACAAGGTAGGGACACTTTGATTTTCTGTTGCTCTCCCCCTGATGGCCTTCTCTGGGGCCCCCACTACCTCTTCCCCTCCCCTCTCTTCAGACCAGTTTTTAATTTAAAGTTATGTCACATGATGAATTTAATACTGGAGCAGAGAAGTGTCAGGCGCCAGAGCATCGAGGTGAAGAGAGATCAATGCTTCTCTCAGCTTAACCCCTGCTCCCAACTTCCACAGAGAATTCTCTTGCATCCAAGAGTTTGCCCTAATTTCTCGCTCTCTCTTCTGTTTGCATTCAGAAGCCTGCAAGAGAGAGTTTCTTTCTCTGTCTCTCTCTTTTGCAAATGTTACTTGGCGAAACAGTTGCAGGTGGAGGTGGAGATGAAGAAGGGCCATGGGGGAAGAAAAGGATGTGTCTCGTGGGGGGGGGACTTTCGTGTTGCATGCAGAAGGTCCCGGGTTCAATCCACAACAACATTTCCCTGCAGGGCTGGGAACATCTCTTGCCTGAAATCCTGGAAAGCTGATGCCAGTCTGTGTAGAGAACAGCAAGCTGTTGGCTGGGGTGGGGAGCTTGAAAATTGTGCACTGATACCTTGACAATGAAGACAATCCAATCCACTTTCTGGCTTACTGCAATCATGATATCATGAGCACAGCTGGGGGGGGGGAGGCAAGAGCATCTCTTGTGTTCACATCCTAAGACATTGTTGTTGTTGTTTAGTCGTGTCCGACTCTTCGTGACCCCATGGACCAGAGCACGCCGGGCCCTTCTGTCTTCCTCTGCCTCCCGCAGTTTGGTCAAACTCATGCTGGTAGCTTCGAGAACACTGTCCCACCATCTCATCCTCTGTCGTCCCCTTCTCCTTGTGCCCTCCATCTTTCCCAACATCAGGGTCTTTTCCAGGGAGTCTTCTCTTCTCATGAGGTGGCCAAAGTATTGGAGCCTCAGCTTCAGGATTTGTCCTTCCAGTGAGCACTCAGGTCTTATTTCCTTAAGAATGGATAGGTTTGATTTTCTTGCAGTCCATGGGACTCTCAAGAGTCTCCTCCAGCACTATAATTCAGAAGCATCAATTCTTTGGCAATCAGCCTTCTTTATGGTCCAGCTCTCACTTCCATACATCACTACTGGGAAAACCATAGCTTTCACTATACGGACCTTTGTTTTTTAATTGTTTTTATTCAAAATTATAACAAGACATATTATCCACAAACATATCATCCTTGTTCCCCCCCATTTTTCCTCCCACCCTCCTCCCCCACAAAACCCACCACCCCCCGACTTCCCTCAGTTCCAGTCTTTGGTTTCTCTAAGAATGCTGTTTTCTGCATGTTACAAAGTTGTATAGATCCTCAAACTATTTAGCTGATTATTATCAATAAAAAGTTTGTGACTGTTTGTTCACTATATGGACCTTTGTTGGCAAGGTGATGTCTCTGCTTTTTAAGATGCTGTCTAGGTTTTTCATTGCTTTCCTCCCAAGAAGCAGGCGTCTTCCGCGACTGCTGTCACCATCTGCAGTGATCATGGAGCCCAAGAAAGTAAAATCTCTCACTGCCTCCATTTCTTCTCCTTCTATTTGCCAGGAGGTGATGGGACCAGTGGCCCTGATCTTTGTTTTTTTGATGTTGAGCTTCAAACCATATTTTGCGCTCTCCTCTTTCACCCTCATTAAAAGGTTCTTTAATTCCTCCTCACTTTCTGCCATCAAGGTTGTGTCACCTGCATATCTGAGGTTGTTACACTGTAGAATTAGCTGCTGCTTTACTGGGGCTGTGCATTGCATGCAAGCTTTCGGCTTCAACTGAGTCAGGTACATGCAGCTGCAGATCACTTTGAGTCGAGTCGGATTGGTCCAGTGTGATCTGTGACTGTCAGTGAGTGTGGCATCAGGCAAGAGGGAGAAGCAGGCAGGATGCAAAAATGGCCGAGATCTTCAGGACTAAGTGTGCATCTTCCCAGGAGAAGCTAGACCTAAGCCACGTCTCTCCTTCCTGCCTGACATCTCAACATGCAGGATTAGTACCTCTGCTCAACAGCCATTGAGGGGAGGCATTGATCCTGCAGGGTGCGGGTGCCCCTTTGTGAACAACTCCCCCTGCTTAGCAACTGCTCCCTTGTGCTCAGAGAAGCCACTCTGAGCAGCAACCAGCACCCCTAACATTTAAGAGGAATTTTGAGAATTTAAATACCCCTTTAAAAAGCCAGGGACGTGGGTGGTGCTGTGGTCTAAACCACAGAGCCTAGGACTTGCCAATCAGAAGGTCGGCAGTTCAAATCCCCGCGATGGGGCGAGCTCCCATTGCTCTGTCCCTGCTCCTGCCAACCTAGCAGTTCAAAAGCATGTCAAAGTGCAAGTAGATAAATAGGTACCACTCAGGTGGGAAGGTAAATGGCATTTCTGTACGTTGCTCTGGTTCGTGAGAAGCGGCTTAGTCATGCTGGCCACATGACCCGGAAGCTGTATGCCGGCTCCCTCGGCCAACCCCAGAGTCAGCAATGACTGGACCTAACGGTCAGGGGTCCCTTTACCTTTACCTTAAAAAGCCAAAAAGCCAGCCCTGCACCCAACTTGTTTCAGGGATGGATCTGAGGTAGGGTGGGTGAACCCCAGGGGTGGCACAGGGTAAATCACCCTCCTCCGGGGACCACAGGGCAGATCGGAAGGTCCGTGCATAGCCGTATAATTTGCACTGTCTCTTCTCACCTTTGTTTTCCCCTCTTCTTTCTAATTCCAGGCTCCCTGAAGTCCGTATCTCAGACAATGGCCCCTATGAGTGCCACGTGGGGATTTACGACAGAGCAACGCGTGAGAAAGTGGTGCTAGCATCTGGAAACATCTTTCTCAACGTGATGTGTAAGTGCTGAACCCTCTTCTTAACAACTCACTAGGCACACTATTTATAGGATCGTAGAACTGTGGAGTTGAGAGGGTTATCTCGTCCGCCACCCGACAATGCAGGAATCACAGCTTAAGCATCCACAGCAGATGTTCACCCAACATCTGCTTAAAAACCTCCAAGGAAGGAGAGCCCACCACCTTCCAAGGGAGACCACCCCACTGTTGAACAACCCTTACCCTCCTAAAGTTCTTCCAAACATTTAGTTGTAATCTCCTTTCTTGTCATTTGAATCTACTGGCTTGGGTCCCACCCTCTGGAGCAGGAGAAACAAGCTTGCTCCATCTTCCATGGACCAGCCCTTCAGATGCTTGAAGATGGCTCTCCTATTGCTTCTCCATTGTCTCAGGCAGAATAGAGAGATGCTATTACTTCCCTTGATCTGGACACTAGACTTCTGTTGACTCAAACTAGAATTGCATTTGCTGTTTGGTTTATAATAATAATAATTTAATAATTTATTATTTATACCTCGCCCATCTGGCTGAGTTTCCCCAGCTGTGCGGCTCCCAATTGAGTGTTAAAAACAATACAGCATTAAATATTAAAGACTTCCTTCAGAAATATATATGTTTAGTTTCTGCTGCTGCTGAATCACACTGTTGACTTGTGTTTGGCTTGTGGTGTACTAAGAACTTGTAGATCTTTTTCGCATGCACCGCTGACAAGCCCAGGGGGTTCCCCCATCCTACATCTGTGCATCTGACTGTTCCTGCCTAAGCACAGAACCTTACGTTTGTCCCTACTGAAATCCACTTTGTTAGTTTTGGCCCCGCTCTCAAATCTCTTAAGGTCACCTTCCAGCTTGTCAATACCCTCCTGGAACCATGGCATGGCCAGAACAGGACTCCAGGCAGGACAGAGTGGTGCGGTGACTTCCCTTCATCTGGCAACTGCATGCAGCTATATATGAAACGGCAATGCCTTCCTACAGCCACGGGGTTAACCTCCCCGTTAATGGTGCCAGTGCGCCGTGCCACGGGTCCAAACGCCTGTTTAAAAATAAACATAAGTTCGCTGCAGAAGCACACACCACAATACAAACACCAGCTGTTCCTTGCAGCCCTGATCCAGACCTTGTACCACAGGGAGGCTGCTGGATGGTGATGGAGTCAGCAGGTTCTGTTGTCTGTAGCCAAGAGGCCGAGCCTCCATCTTTGTCGCTTGCTCCAAGCGTGTGTGTGTGTTTGTGTGTGTGTGTGTGTGTGTGTGTGCTATTTCGGGGAGGAGGAGGACGGGTGGGTGAGCGGGATCTGTGCCAGAGAGCAGCATGGAACAGATGTTGCGATTTATATTTACTGAGCGTGGCTCCGTTTGCAGCGGAGGAACCCGGAGTTGACAAATGAGCTTCTCTGTCATTGGAGGGGGGGGGGAAGGCTGCGCTCAGCACCAGCTGCTACCACGTTTCGTGCAGTTGCCTGTCTGTTGAAATCTTCTCAGGCCTGGAACGGTGCAGCAGGCATGTCCTACCGCCTCTCCCCCTTCCTTCCCTCTCTTCGAATCAGCAACCCTTATAACGAGGGACATTTTTTTTAAAAAAAAATCCTACGTGAAGATCAGTCAAGGACGAAAGACCTGGAAATAAGGAACATAAGCAGAGCCCTGTTGTTGTTTAGTGGTTTAGCCATGTCCAACTCTTCATGACCCCATGGACCAGAGCACGCCAGGCACTCCTGTCTTCCACTGCCACCTGCAGTTTGGTCAAACTCATGCTGGTAGCTTCGAGAACACTGTCCAACCATCTCGTCCTCTGTCGTCCCCTTCTCCTTGTGCCCTCCATCTTCCCCAACATCAGGGTCTTTTCCAGGGAGTCTTCTCTTCTCCTGAGGTGGCCAAAGTATTGGAGCCTCAGCTTCAGGATCTGTCCTTCCAGTGAGCACTCAGGGCTGATTTCCTTCAGACTGGAGAGATTTGATCTTCTTGCAGTCCATGGGACTCTCAAGAGTCTCCTCCAGCACCAGAATTCAAAAGCATCAATTCTTTGGCGATCAGCCTTCTTTATGGTCCAGCTCTCACTTCCATACATCACTACTGGGAAAACCATGGCTTTCACTATATGGACCTTTGTTCGCAAGGTGATTCTCTGCTTTTTAAGATGCTGTCTAGGTTTGTCATTGCAGGATCAGGCAAAAGACCTATCTAATTGGGTATCTTGTTTCCTGCAGTAGCCATTCCAGTGGCTCCATGAAGGCCATGAGCCAGGCAGGAGAACCAGAGCCCTCGCTCCCCACTCCGTTAAACATAAGAACAAGATCATCATCATCATCATTTTTTATTTGTATGCCGCCTTTCCACAGTTTTAAAAAAACAATGCTCAAGGCATAACAAGATTTACATAATTACAAAAGTCATAAACAATAAATAAACCACATCAAAATATATACAGCCAAATGGGAAACAATTTCCACATAAATCAAAATCTCAAACTAAGAATACAGCATTATTATCACAGTTTAATTTTTCGCTCCATAAGATGCACCTAATTTTTAGAGGAGGAAAGGGGGAAAGCCCCGTTTTGGGGGGGATCAGCTCACAGTTGTGCAGCTTCTTTTGCAAAGGGGAAAAGCCCCCTTTTTTGAGGATCAGCTCAAAGTTGTTGAGCTTACTTTGCAAAGGGGGAAAATCCTGTTTTTATGGGGTTCAACTCACAGTTCTGCAGCTTCTTTAGGAAAAGAAAGGGAGCCATTACTACAGTTTCCAGACAGATAATCTCATCAGCCAGTCACATGTCGCTGGGGAAACAAATGGCCCCCATCTGCAGAACATTCAGCAATGGAGACCTGGGCAAGGGGCCGGAGCTGGAAAGGGAGCCAGCGATCGACTACGCATTTGCTCCATAAGATGCACAGACATTTCCCCTTACTTTTTAGGAGGAAAAAAGTGTGTCTTATGGAGCGAAAAATACGGTAGGTAAAAAATAATAGCAATTTAAACAATTTAAACAAAAACTAAACTGAACGGAGCCCTCTCTGCTCAGCAGCAGCGGTGGCAGCAGTCCTTTATAGAGCCCATCAGGCCCTGCCCTGGGCCAAGTGGTGAGTGGCAGGACTGGGGCCCTCAGGCGCTGAGCAGGGGAGTCCTCCTGGCCTTTTCCAACATCCTGTTTTCGCAGCAGCCAATCAGATGCTTGTGGAAAGCCCCAAAGTGAGACCTGGAGGGCTGTTCCATGCTCATGGGGATGAGATCTGTGGTCTGGGGCCGTACTGGATTGAATGGGACCCTCTCTCATGGCACAAGAACTCATGGCCATCCAATAAAGATGAATACGGAAAGATTCAGGAGAGATAAAAGGAAGGACTTACTCACCTAGTGGATTCACCTAGTTCAACTGTGGAACTCACTCCAGTGGGAGGCAGTGATGGCCACTGACCAAGGTGGCTTTAAAAGAGGATTAGACAAATTAATGTTTACCAGCTCCATCTGGTACGCAGGCTGAGACCCTATCTGCCCTCGGACTGTCTCGCCAGAGTGGTGCATGCTCTGGCTATCTCCCACTTGGACTATGTGGGGCTACCTTTGAAGGTGACCCGGAAACTACAACTAATCCAGAATGTGGCAGCTAGACTGGTGACTGGGAACGGCCGCCGAGACCACATAACACCAGTCTTGAAAGACCTACATTGGCTCCCAGTACGTTTCCAAGCACAATTCAAAGTGTTGGTGCTGACCTTTAAAGCCCTAAACGGCCTCAGTCCAGTACATCTGAAGGAGTGTCTCCACCCCCATCATTCAGCCCAGACACTGAGGTCCAGCACCAAGGGCCTTCTGGTGGTTCCCTCACTGCGAGAAGCCAAGTCACAGGGAACCAGGCAGAGGGCCTTCTCGGTAGTGGTGCCCGCCCTGTGGAATGCCCTTCTACCAGATGTCAAAGAGAACAACAACTACCAGACTTTTAGACGAGATCTGAAGGCAGCCCTGTTTGGGGAAGCTTTTAATGTTTGATGCATTACTGTATTTTAATATTGTGTTGGAAGCTGCCCAGAGTGACTGGGGAAACCCAGGAAGATGGGTGGGGTATAAATAAATTATTATTATTATTATTATTATTATTATTATTATTATTATTATTATTACTAATGGAGGAGAAGAGGGCTATTGATGGCTACTAGCCACAGCGGCTGTGCTCTGCTTCCACAATTGAAGGCAGCAATGCTTCTGAATACCAGTTGCTAGAGACGACAGGTGAGGAGAGAGAGCACTCTTGTGCTTGAATCTTGCATGTACTGTAGGCTTCTCATTGGCGCATCTGGTTGGCTGCTGTGATAACAGGATGCTGGACTAGACGGGCCCTTGGCCTGATCCACCCAGCTCTTCTTATGTTCTTTTTTTAATGTTTATTTATGCATTTTCGATTTTAAAGTTTCTTCTTGTGTTCTTAAGTCCCAGGTTTACCACCCTCCCCATCTGAGAGGGTTGTGTAGGGGAGGTGGGGGGTTTGGGGGGAGGAGGAGGAGAGGAGGGCTAGCTCGTAGATTGTATGTAATTGCGGTGATGTGGGATGCATCCCAAGCCCTGGGCTTTCAGATATGAAATCAGCTTCTTAAGGAGCATTTTCTCTCGAGCGGATGACCCTTCCGTTTCTCGAGGTCTTTAAGAAAAGCCCAGTGCAGTGCACAGCAGTATCCATGGCGACCAGCCGCCGGGCTAAACACTCTTTCTCTTCCACCCCCCCCACCTAACCCTTCTGTTGTTCTCTTCTTCCCATTGTAGTAATTATATCTCTGGTCAGAGTCTTCTGACAGTTACTTACTAGCTGGGAAAACATCACTCTCCTTCATTGGTCTGTAATATTTAATGGTGGCTGTGCCTCAGGCCTCAGATCTCTCATGGGCGTACTTAAGGAGATGGCTGTGAATATAGTGTCCCCACCCCCATCTAGGTTCAGAGAGGAGCACCCCACCCCAACCCATCCCAAGGCAAGGCACCTCAGAAATTTCAAGAGTTTCAGGACCACGGA